TTTTTTTGCAAATAAGAGAACTTAAAATACAATTAGAGAACTTAAAATACAAGTTAATAAATTTTTATAATAAAAAAAAAGAGAGAAACTATATATATATACTTTTTCAAGGCTACATTCCATATCTTTTTTTCGAGGAAAATTTTATTCAATAAGTCTGTGTAAAATATCAGATAATTTTGAATTACAAATGAAAATAAAAATTTAAATGAAACAATATAGTTTTAACATTAAAGAATAAAATTATAATTATCATTTTTACTTACGTTCAATTGGTTTAAGAGAAATAAAACTCCGCCGGCGATACCACAAACTAACTGTGGGTAAGCGATTCTTTTCAAATTGATTACAAAGAGAAAAAGAACTTCTTTTAAAGCAACTTCAATTTAACTTCACAAAAGTTTAAATATACTATAGAATTCTTTTGAGTTAACGGAAAGGAACTTTTTTGAATTCATAACAATCATCTAACAATCATCAGAAATTTGAACAATACTAGACTTTTGTTCATTTTCCAAATATATTATTAGTTTCAGCATTATTATTATTATACGTTTTTCACTGAAAAAAATCTATAAAAATGAAATAATTTCTATAACAAAAATGCACAATTTTACTTAAATATTCGTAAGAAATAGTAGAACAATTTACAAAAATTGAACGTTTTTGCCAATGTTTTGACGTGATATTATTTTAAGCTCTGATTTACTTACTCTGTTTTTTTTTATAATCTAGCTGTTTTATATTTATTTTATGATCTAATATTGGTTGGCGCAGATGATGAATCAAAATGACTGAAATCACACAAACTTAAGAATAGAAGAAATAAATCACACAAACTTAAGAATAGAAGAACGGAGCATAAACTAGAGAAAAGAAACAGACAGGAAGTCAATCTTATTCGATTTGAATTTCGCATGTTTAATAACATGGGATATGTGTGTGTTTAGGGAGAGGAAACCTCTTATTTTGTGTTAGTGTTAACAATACTGCGCAAGCATATCACGTATATCCATGTGTGACATAAACGGAAATAAATGTGACGAAAAACGGTTCTCCTCCCCTCCCCCCCGAATCTCTTAATTTTTATCCCTCTTGTCTAAACTAGGATTTTTGACTCTCCATTCCTCTACTCCCAAGTCCGTAGTCAATCAATTCGGCATCATATATCATCATTATATTATCTGAGTTATTATCTGAGAACATGTGTTCCATATATTTTAAATCTATTATACGGTTGGCGAAAAAACCACAAGGTGTCACGTTGTATACAAAATTTTTCTTTATTTAACGATATATATATATATATATTGCTGGATATTCACGAGATTATATTATACTTTCCATTAGGTACATATTTGAAAAGCCTTGCGTCCTTCCTTTTATTCTCTTACTCGGAACGTATACTAAAAGTCAGTAGCAACAGTCTCAACGGAATCATGTTACAATTTCTTCATTATGTTTTCCTCTTTATAAAATATAAACTAATACTCATTAATATTCAGATACAGTACCGCGTGCTTACAAACTGGTATCCTCCCACCCATTTTCAAGTTCTATTTACTAAATTGCAACTTAAAAATAGGTAATTATTTGCCACTGTTCGAATGACGTATGTTCATAAACCGAGCAAGGATTCGACCAGCGTTAAGGACGCGCATCGCGCAAAGTGAAAAAGATAGTGGTTTTGTTTCAACAAAACGCTCGATCTATATAGTTCCTATCACGTTGTATCAATACGTCATTCAAATTTAAGCATTCATACAAAGCAATATTTTGTGAAATAATAAAAGGCTATCGAGTAATCTAGTCGCTAGCTAACTATAGCTCACGTCGGCAGATCATTGTTGCGCAGCGTTGTGCTGCGTCTCGTGCAGACAGTCCCGTACGGCGACTCTGGCCTGCTGAATGCCGTTCTTCAGTCTCTCGGCGGCACTACGGCTGCCCGCATACGAGAGACGAATGTCCCTGCCGAGCTCCTCGATGATCATCAACAGCTTACCATAATTGTTCTGACCAGGCACGGCCTGGTAATTAATCATGCTGGACGGGCTGGCCTGCGCCACTTGCACGGTTTGCACGTTCTGCAGATTCCTGGGATTTGGCACGGTGATCACAGGTTCGGGAATACGCGGTGGCGGCGGCAGCGGCGGAATCTCCGGCATCTTCGGCGGATCGTTCAATTTCGTGATCGTTATCTCGTTCATCTTGGCCAGCTCGTTCAGCTTCACCATCTCGTTCGTCATTTTTACCGGATATTCCGGTCTTTCCATTTTGGCAATCTCGTTTTGCATATTCGCCATCTTCATCATCTCGTTCATCTTCGTCTTCTCGTTCATCTTGGCGATCTCTTTCGCCATCTCGTTGATCTGCGCGATTTCGTTTAATTTCGTTATGTCATTATTGTACTTTGCCATCTCCGTCATTTTCACCATCTCATTCAGCTTCGCTATCTCGTTCATCCTTTGGACCTCGCTAATCTTGACCATCTGCGACATTTTCATCATCTCATTCATTTTATTGATATCATTATATTTGGCGCTCATCTCAGAATACTTTGCCATCTCGTTCATCTTGGCGATCTCCTGCATCTTTATGTATTCCGTAGTTTTGGCGTATTCCGCCATCTTCTCCATTTCGTATCTCTTCATCATGTCCTGTGACATCTTGTTAAACTCAGAATTCATTTTACTAAACTCCGCCAGTTGAGCCATTTGAACTATATGCTCAGGTACTTTTCCTCTCTCCATCATTTGCTTCAATTCCGCAGATATCTTGTTCATATTCATCTCTGACATCTGGGCTATTGTAGCAGAATCGGGCATCTTGGACAACTCGGCGATTTTGGAAATTTCCCTTGCGAGATTTTCGTCCAGACAACGCTTTTTCTTGGCACGATGCCTGGCCATCCGCTGAGCTTCCTGCATTCTCCTCAACGCTGCTTGCTCCTCGGTTTCCTTAGCTCTGGCGTTTTTCATTATCTCCGCAGCCGCATACAGTCTGACAGCACGATCCTCCCCTGTCTCTGACATCTATAATCTCGCATTTCCCTTTATTGTTTTAAGGCAAGATTCTTTTCTGGCATTGAGTTCAATTTACTGATACAACTGTTACCAACACTATCCTTCATGTGCTCTCACATGATAGGATTGTGAAGTCTAAAATAATCTAGAATAAACAAATAGAATAAATATTTCAGGTAAAATAAATGTTATCTCTCCAGCTTATCTTTCCGATATTCTGATCTTCTTTCCTTTTTAGAATGACTCCAGCATTCAATAAGATTATTTGGTTTTCTTGTCTTCAATGGCAATAACCACAACCATAGCTCTGTTTATTCACTTATACATACTGCAATTGAAAGACGGTGCAGCAGACATCTGAAATAAATGAAAGATTGTAAATATGTTGTAAGAACTGCGACGAGACGCAAGACGATAAACTACATTCATTCATATTTGAAATCTAACCTAATCTTCCAATACGTTGCGATAAGACAATTAAATCAAAGTGATCTGTAAGATGTACGTTATCAATTAATGTCAACATCTGTCATCCCAGTCCGACAAATCATCATACAAATAATCAGAGACGCGAATCTTCTATGAGAAAAGTGCAAACGACATTAAATGTCATCAAATTTCCCTTCTTGTCAGCTGCGGTGATGACGAATTTACGAGTGCCACAGCTATTGACACATAGAAAAGTGTAACCAATAACACTCAAACGATCTGAACCAAGCCAAATTTCAAAATGGTACGTTTTCGAGTCCGAACTTGATTGGCTGATTCGCTCACCGTTAAATCATTGTTTATGTTTTTCTACGTGCCACTGGCCTACACTGGAGTTATCTCGCGCGCATAACGGCTCTTTTCATCGTTGTCCCGATCCTCTTCGTCGTGTCTCCACGCTGTGTCGCCCGGTGTGCGCGACAGTGCGATGTTGCGTAAATGGACGCGCCGCCATGCGACACGACGCGACGCAATCGGGAACAATCGGGAGAGCAAAAAACCACACGGGGGAGAAGTGAGCGTTCCGCCTCGGCGTCGCGAGTCGCGACAGCGATGCTTGTCACGCGGGCGAGCGGGCGTGCGCATGCGCGCGCTGACCTAAGAACGTCGTCTTCGCCTCGCGCGGCTCACTTCTCTCCCTACCCGCGCCACCTAGTCTCCGCGCTTCCCCTCCCTCCTAATCCCCGCGGCCACCCTACCGCCCGGCCGACGACGATTGACAACAATGGCGGGCGCGTTTCGGCCGATCCGCCGAAAGGCGCCGTCAACTCACCCTGACGAGAAATCGGCCGGCCGCGGGGCTGCGACACGCATCCGCGGCTTCCTCGACGCGTGCCGCGTCCGTCAGTTCGCCTCCCACGTCGATCCGCGCGTCTCTTACCCGGTTTATCCTGCGAAATAGGCGCACAAAGGCGGCATCGGCCGACACGTAAGATTTTCGCGACGGAGCTACTTTAAGGGGCCAAGCGGGGTCGTCGTCGCCGCCGCCGATAGGCTGCGTGTGACGTGGTTGCGTTTATTGACCATAACCCCTTCCTACTATCATCCGCAACCTCGCGACAGACAGGTGTACGACCCGCGAAACTATTGACCGTCCGTCGGCGCCTCTGCCTGTATTCCGCGTTCTTACGTAGCCGCCGTCTTGGGCGCCTTAGGCTATGGTGTGATGTGTACAATTGGTATACATATATATATATATATATATATGTGTGTGTGTGTGTGTGTACATATCGCGCGACGAAGGCCGGCGACGATCGAGAGGAGAAGCGAGACACTCTTGCGGATTGTATGAAGTTTAATCGAAGGGAGTTTAAACAAGACAGCTGATTAAATCTCTTCGTTGGAAAACGGATCAGTCGACGACGCTCCAAGTCAGTTCGTCGGAGAAGAGAAAAACACGCCGATACATCTTTGTATGCGACGTCGTGATTATAATCAAAATCACTTGATAAATATTGATGTTGACTTATACAGATCTACGTTTAGAAAATTGAAAGAAATGTAAGCATTTTTAAAGTGTTTAAGCGTTTAGATGGTGTAAGAATTCATGTATGATACAGGATAATTTGTGAATGTTGATATTCCAAGGAATGAAACTTGTACTTTAGATAATAAATTTACATAGTTACCGTTTTTATAGAAAATTTAAGAGTTTTCAGGGATTATGAACATTAAATTGAATTAAAATGCATTAATAGCTTATATTTCTTACAACAGAAAGTATATTTTTAATGTTATCTCTAATTCTTTAACAATTTAGACAAAATTATGTCATATATATATATATATATTTGGTCTATATTTTTTTATTTTTAATTCTTTCTTGATATACATTTTTTAATTATTCTATAATATATAATTTCAAAAATTGGAACATCTAAGGTTTAATGGAAATTAGATAAAATTATAAAAATAAATAATTGTATTTTTTTCATTGTACAACAGAATACTTTTGGTTTTTGTTTCAGGTTGTATAAAAAGATTCATATATTAAATAGATAACAATGTTTCGTCAAAAGAATTAACTCATATGAATAAAATATCAATTAACACAATGTATATATCATCATATGAATACTATTTTTTGTTACTGTTGGTCATTCTACCAGTATATCTTTTCTTCAAGCTTTGGTCATGGCTTGGATGGGTATTATTTGTAAATAATTAAAATTTTGACTCTTAAAATGTAACCTAAAGGGTATGTATGAGGCAGATTTCTTCTTATGTACACATATGTAAATATGTATAAAGATGTACACATATAAATATGTATAAAGATGTACACATATAAATATGTATAAAGAACTATGTCTTTTTTTAATGCACTATCATGCATTTCTATAATATCTGCGAGCCTCGTTTACGGCGATATAATGTTTGTATATGATACAAAATTTTAAATTTTATATATATATATATATATATACACACACACACATACACACACATATATATATATATACATATACACATTTAAAATTTATTACATAATAAAATGACATGTTATAACAAACTAGCAAAATTTTAAATGCGATAAAATTCGAGCAAAATAGAGTTCTAAAAAAAAAGACAAAATTAAATTTTGTTAGTGATTAAAAGTTCGTCCAGCCCCATTCTTCCACGATGCTTCCATATCCTGAATCTGGCAACATCTTTTCGAGTAATAATACCAATTACCTGGATAAAATATACAAATGTATATAAATAATTTTTTCATAGATTGCAATTTATATTACTTACTTCATTAGTATCATTTACCACTAGTACATGACGTAATCCTAATGCTCTAAAGAGCCTGAATGTTCTTGGCAGTGTTGCAGACTATACAAAAGAGACAAACATTTGCATGAGCCTAAAATATTTTCAGATAATAGAAAGAACTTAATGTAGAAACTACTAACATGTTGTACTGTATAGGGAGAAGGATTCATAAAATGTCTCAAATCAATCGTGTAGGTTTTTTCTTCATCAGTGATGGCAACTTGCTCAATGGTTGGATATCTAGGATACTCATTTCGAAAGATCTTTATACTCAAAGGTTTTTCCCAAAAATCCTCATACTCATTGAATACTTTATTTTTTAAAAGTACTATTAACTGAGAACGTAATATTAAACCTCGGAGTCGACCGTATGAATTTATTTCAGCCTGAAAAAAAAAACGAGAATTAAAGTAAAAACATACAAAATTGCTCGAAATAATTAACAAACTGGCAGATCGTTACCTGATCGCTACTTGGTGGATCAACTACTGGAAATCCATTGAATGTAACGCATTTCAAAAGCTCGACAATGTGCCCTACATTTTCAACAGTTTTTAGCACCACGACAGGATGGCTCATTATCTCAGTTGCGTAAATATTATTCGAAAGTGGAGGCGGTTCCCACGGAAGTAATGGTATTCCTGCCATTTGTATGTGAATATCATAAATTCCCTAAAAGATAAATATTTACTTATATAATATATATTTATTATAAAATGCATGCATATGATACATATAAGCATGAATAATACTTGCCTCATTAAAGAAATCGCCAACCCACTTTGCCATTATAAGGACTATTATAACAGGTAAACCAAAGTATATTCCCTGAGTTGCTTCTATTAAGATCGCGGTTAAACTTATTGTCATCCTGACTACCCCTCCCAATTGTGCGGCAGCACCTAATAAAGCGTATTTGCCAGGATCTAATACTTCCTATAATGCGAAATTTATATTTATAGTACAACAGCTGACATTTTATTTTGCTGCGTTGACTTCAACTTCCTGATTCTTACACAATTTGGACACAATCTTGAGAGACCCGATCCAATTAATCTACCCCATGCGGATCCAATCAGCAGGGAGGGAATGAAAAGGCCACTTGACATTGATAGGCCGAAAGTCGTCGCAGCAAGAAAGAAATACAGTACAACAAAAATTGCTAGCGTCATATCATTGTGAGCACCTACAAGTGCGTAATTTAATTGTGCGTTTGTCTTCAGATAATTATATTAATATTATTATTGTATATTGCGCATACCTTTAGGATCATGAAACAAAGATCGTACGCTACTTTCCGGGGTCTGAAACCACAACGCGGCTACTGCATTGTATTCCCCTTCCGCGCAATACATTTGTACCGGAAACTTGGTGGGATCGTTACCTAATGGTTTACAGTCATTGACAAAGTATATCATTAGGGATCCCATCGTCGCGCTCAATATCGCTACTAGAAGAGCCTCGATCACTTTCTGCCATTTTTGTGTCACGAAACGCAAGCGGAAGCAAGTGATCTTGTAATTGATATGATTCCACAGAGCGCCGAGCAATCCGCCGAACGTGCCCATTATCATGAATAGAGGTATCTCATAGATCTGATATGGAATCGAGTCGAATTTTCCTAAATTTAACAGACCAGGATACGAGAGTTCTCCGGGATGCCCATGATACGCACTCAAAATCACATTCAAAGTGAACGTAGTGATCATGCTGGCGAAGAATGTTCTCCATGTAAGACTTTGATTGAAAAAACTAGTACCTTCTTCTATACTGAACAAGACTCCACCTATAAAATCCAAAAATTGCAAGTTATTTTTACATTTTTTATTACACGATATTTATTGTGAGAAAAAAGTGAGTTTAAATTAATAAAAGAATTTATTATTAAAATAATGCGCGAAAATGTTCTATCTATAACTGTTAATATTTAATATTAATATTACCAATAGGTGCTCCGAAAGCCGCCGACACTCCGGACGCAGCACCTCCGGACACGAATTCTCGTTTCTCATGATCTTCTCTGAAGTATTCGAATATTTTTAAATCCTTCTTAAAAGTCGTACTTTTACCCTGAGAGATCCCTGCAGCTATGATAGCACCAGAATGGATCATAGGACCTTCCTGCACAAAAAATATCAAACGTGAATGATCTTGACGAATAGAAATAACGATGATGAGTCACTTACCTTGCCTCCTGCTAGGCCTCCAACTACGGTGCATATAACACCGATAGATTTCACAGCCAATGTTTTAATGCGCACAACTCGCGGTATTTTGACTCCATTCAAATAACATTTTACTTGCGGAATACCACTCCCCGCAGCAACAGGCTCAATGAAGGCCACTAAGACGGCACCTATGAAGACTGGTATCATATTTGACACTAACCACATCACATACGGTAACCACAGGCATCCTTCTATCACACAGTGATCTACATCTGTCAACATAAGATATGTATATTATTCTATATATCATATAGATTACCGCACGTATTTAACTTATACAGATTGCATGTATTATTAAATGTACATTTCTTAAGCCAGCCATATTTTTTGCTGGATAATTCCTCTATTAATATATCTACAAAGCATGCTATGAGTGCAGTGCAAATTCCGATCAGGAGGAAGATGAACCATCTGGCGAAATTCTTTTTAACAACAAACTTGTATCCCTTTTTCCTCTCTTCATCTTGTAGAAGATAATTTTCACAGGGATCATAATCCAGACTCTGAAAACAAGATGCCATTAATCCAACATTACCAAGAGAAGATAAGGTAGTTATATGTGTATGTATATAACAAAAAAAAGAAAACATAAACAATCATCTTTAAACGAGGTCAATAGGTGATCGCAATCGATACACCATTAAAAGTTATTATGCGATTACTTCGTAATTGGTTGATAAGAAATTAGTCGCTCCTGGAGTTATATCCTCGACGTGCACCCTTTTGGGTTGACCCAAGATAGCCTCTATTTCGCTGTACGATGTATTAACGTTGGCGCTGCTCTGTGTTGATACAATAGAACACTATAGATATACAGTAAGAGAAAACTCGCGAACGAGTTATTCAATTCGATTTACCCGAAATCGCACGTTGATATCGTTGTTGGAATATGATGCAAAGTTGTTCCTCGGCTTGATCAGCCTCTCCCTGTCGTCCTCGTCGCAGATGTCGATGCAATCAATATTTTCTCTATTGTTCTCGGCACTGGACATCGTGGATGGATTCATTGTTCTCTGCGACAGGATCTAGAGATGTGTTCTCAACCGCATTTCCCAGCGAAGGGGATGATCCACGATCTACGGGGAGATCGTCGAGATGTTCACCTCATGGGTCACACCATACCGTGGTGTTCACGCGGAATCGTACGTGAGAGGCGTGCGTGTGCACGGGGAAAATGATATCAAAATGATATATTGCGGACGAACGAATCGACGGCGGGTACGTAACTAGTCCCGAGTGACTCATTGCTACGCAATTGCGGAAGCGCAGCAGCAGTAACAACGACACAACGATGACGGCGGTGGCGGTGGCGACCGACTGACCGACCGATAAAGCGCGCGAGCGTGAACATGACGCACGCGTGCCATTATTCACTACTCGGATTTCGGGAGGGAGGAAGAGAGATGGGAAGAGAGCGGGCTGACATATCCCCGAGGTCGAGGTCACGCGAAGCCGCGTGCATCTTTCTCGGGGAGGCGCCAATGCACTCTGTGCGATAAGATTCGCGATCAACGTCCGAGAGCGTTCGGAGTTGAACTATCACGGAGATGTCATAGATGTTTTATGTTTATTTTCTTTTTACCAATGTAGATTAGCTTTAACTTTAAGAATTAGAAAAAGATTAAAAGTAAAGATATTAAAGTTAATCTATATTGATAGAAATGGACATTAGCGAGTTACCCCCTGCACTCGTAGGTCCTTATCTGGCCGGGAGTTTAAGTCTTATCTTACAAGTAATAATCTTAGAAAAAATATCAAGAGAATGAGAAACGAAGCTCTATGTCCGGTAAATACTGACTAATGTTAAATCAATATTATAATTTTCTTCTTAAGACATGTGCTATATTACCCTTGTATCGTTGAGTAGAATATTATAAAATCTTTGTTTTTTTTTTTTCAGCTGAATTGGACAACGCTTGTTGTATCTAAAATAAAATAAATATATGTTTGAAGTTTAACAGAAACGAAAAAGAAAATTTTAGTGCAGTCAACTGCAGCGATAAAAAAACAGATTTATAATGTTAATGTAACATTACTATCAGTTGTTTACCAGAAGAATGGATAGTTAGAGTATCGAGATTACGACTGTACGGATCTGACATCTATCAAGTCGGTATAATTAGCATTTGTATGGAAATTACAATGAATGTTGACGTAGACGTTACAGAAAATATAACTTTCAGAATCGGACACGCTTCTTACAGCCTAACTACGAATCTAACGCTAACTGAAATTCTGATTCTCGACGTTTCTGATTTCCAAGTACAGCGTGAACAGCGTGTAGAGGGCCTCCAGCCGGGCATCCTCGCGCGTAGGAATATCCAGGAGATTACAAACTATGTCGACCAACTGTGGCAATTCGCAGTCGAGCTCCAACAAATCCAGCTGCAGCTCGTTGAGCTTCTCCTCCACCTGCGGCGGCCACTGCTGCATCAGCCCATCGATGTCCGGCATCGCGCGGCTCAACTGCACCCCCGGGGGATGTTTACTCCTGTGCAGCTGATTCATGTCGTCGATCCATTTGTCGATCGACTTGCCATTCCTCTCGGCGTCTTCGATCCTCTTGACAACCGCCTGCCTCGCAGCAGCGCCGGCGCTCCTCGAATGATTCCGCAGCTGCAGATGCAGCACCGCCTGGTCCGACTGATCGGTACATGGTTCGTCTAGTACCGTAAGGCCGACCTTATCTTCTACTCCGTCAGGCCTAGGCACCTTTATGAAGGCGTCTATGTCGCCGACCGCTGGTATGTAGTCGGGGATGAACGGTATTAGCTTGTAATTCAGCTCGATTCTCTGCGGCGTGTACCTGAATCGACGATCAGTCGTTTGATTGCGAGACGATAAATCTCGAAAGTAAGTTTTGTTATAAGAAATAAAGGCAACAGAGAATCAAGTACTGTTATCGGTGCGCAAATATTTAATAAATATACTTATTTTACATTTCAAATCCCCATAAATAATACTAATAAACCCACATTTTTACATTTCTTATTGTGATATTTTCAAGAATTCTGTGATACTTTAAACTTGTATTGTTTTCTATATTTTTACTTTATTTTATTTCTTAATTTTTATTTTTTCTATTTAATAGTTGCTTTGGGAGATGAGACCGTAATTTTTGGTAGAAATACACTTGCCTTATGATATTCTGGAACAACTCCTTGACTTCCGTCGAGGTCTCTAAATTCTCGAACTCCTTGGGATCGTACAGGTCAATCGGCTTTGCGGCGCTGCTGCCCTGGATGTCATCATCGTCGCTCTCCTCGCTATCCGAAGGATCGCTGCCGATCCCCATCGATTTCTCGAAGCCGATATCATTGCCTGTCGAGTATCTGCCGGATTATAAGAAGTATTATTACAATTTACGTATCTATAAATATGATAAGTCACGCAATAAGAAAATATGTTACAGGAAAAATTCTATGAAGTCGACGTCACCAGGTGGCCATTATTGTCAATTAACGTAGGTAATAAGCCGTGATTTGCGTAACAATTACCTCCTGAATTCCTGACCGCCGCCGCCTCCGCCACGCGGCGAGTTGGAGGCCAATGTGTTTGTGCTGTCACTTGTCACGCTCTTCCTGGTCCTTCGGGAACTCGCGGGGCCGCGGCTCACCGGGCTCTTGACCTCCTCGGCGTTACGCACCACGATCGCCTCGTCGAATTTACCGAACGCTGTGATGTGCGTTCCCTCGTCATCCTCGTCGCTGCTGTCCTTGATATCCATAGTCGGCGCCGAGGAACGGCCATCGGCACGTCCTTCGACGATTGCCCTTAGGGTCTGTATGACGACGAGTGTGGCTAGACCGGGAGGGGACAAGTTGCACGACGGTTTTTATCCGACGTGCGATCTATGTAGATTAATGACAGGAAGGAAAGAAGGAATATTCCCTCCGACGCGCTTGCCTTCACGATAGACAGTGACAGCGATTTGTTTTCTTAACGTTGCCATAGTTTCATCGATCGGAATCAACTGTTCAAAGAGAAAATGTTGAATGATATATCAAATAACAATTTTATGTGAAATATATAACATAATAATGTGTCAAATAATTTGCTTTATAATCATCAGTGAAAAATAGTTCAATTTGCATCATTAATAATAAATTAATAATAAAAAATAAAACAAAGAGAGCAAAATAAGAGTCAAGTGCTATAATTAATACAGTTTATATTAAAATTTGTCCGAAATAATATAAAACAAATAATATAAAATTAATAATACAAACAATTGTAAAAAAATTTTTATATTATTTTGTAAAAAATTAATACTTTGGCATAAGGCATAAAAATAGAAGCGTATCCTTTTTTTACATTCTATTCTATACATAATTACTGATAACTTGTGCAAGATTCTTTATTACATGTGTATGGGTAATTTCCTATTTGTGCGTTTCAAACGGTGCTGATTTTAATAGGAATTCCCACGCGGACTCATAATACAAATCAAGATGAATCAGATCATGCTTCGCAACTGGACTCAACCGCGACAGTTCACCGCTTATATGTATACATGTGATATGTATTCCTGTTTATGCAAGTTGCAACACGAGGTCGCATATCTTTCATCTGCGTTCTTTCTCAATTTCATTCTCGTTTTACAACAGCAATATTACACCTTGGGAAATCTACATATTTTTTGTACACATGTCTTCGCGAGTAGGCGTGTTCTAGACACGATTACAATGTCAATTAAAAAAAGAAGCAGGTATAAGAATTATAAGAATTTCTCCGCTGCGCGTTGTTTATCGTAAACGCAAACGGTTTCGATCGTTTTATCGCGCTCGATCTTTATGTGTATAATCCATATAATTCAAGAAAGACACTGCCCGCGGAGATAAGACAAGCGGACTTTTGTTTTACGATGGGCAATGCAGACGAGTGCAATAAATAGTGCGAACGGAGCTCTCGCTCTCGTTGTTATCTGCCGATAACGCGTATACCAAATGGGTTAATCGCTGTTAAAAACGGTGGAGCAATCGATAAGAAACTCGCGGGCTGTCGTAAAGCGTTTATTAATCACATTATAAGTCGACTACAAACAGGCATAATTCCATACCGCCGGGATTATATCCGGCGATACGCGCGCCGTGTGAACATTGATAAAAATATAAAAATCATTCTCAAAAGTATTATATCGCATCGGCAAAAAGGCGATATAAACAACAACAAGGAAAAGAATTACAATCGTCGAAAATAGTTATAATTATCAAAAATTGAGGAGCGCTCAAAAATGTCATCGAGATCCTTCTCAATTGAAGAAGATATTTTTATTTTGAATCAAACGACGAGTAATCTCAGATACTCTCATTCATTGACTTCGACATCGACGTCTACGCGTTACCGCTTCTTCGAAAAATCGGGTATTTCCCATAAACGTGACCGCTCCTGGTGCGCCTTATCAACCAGTCTCGGGGTGTCGTTTGAGAAACACGACCCGTCTGCGTTTTTCGTGTGTGCTTAACGTAGCTCAAGCGTGCTCTCGAGATTCTAGACGCTAAGGGATTAAGATAGGAAGAAAGAGAATTAATTTCGTGAAATAGAAAGGCATTACCGAGATTACTTTTGAACAATCGCGCTATCTCGTCTGCGATACCGTTAAAATTATCATTCGTGTTGTTGCAGAGATTTGAGGAACTAGGATTGAAGTCACACGAGGGACTTGATGTTGATTGATCTATTATTTTCTGCTGAGGAGGATCCAAACTAGGTGCTGATATCCTAGTGTTCGAGATAATCGGTGACGAGATATTTTGTATCTTAGGAACGACATTATGCGATGGACCAATCGAATCGCCACAAGCGTGATGGCAGCTTATTAAGCTTGATCTCGTAGTTCTTTGGTACCAAAAGGATGACGGATCTTCCTCGAGAGTCATGGAAATCCTATTGGTCATAGGAAAAAAGGAGATCTTGGCTAAATTCTCAATTTTTATTTAACAATAATCTCAATAAATCAAATCTTGTTTTTTTTTTTTTTTAATAAGCCAAGGAGGTTTACGTTTCAATGTTGCTCGTGTCATCCGATGCTTCGTTCTTCGGAGAATTCACTGACAGTATCATGAACGCGAAGAGCAGCCCGCAAATCGCAAGAAATACGAAAAGATCGGCGATGGGATGCTGCTGTGGCATAGCTCGTATCTTCGAATCTGCGTTGTCGAGGTTTTCCTCCGTGGACGCGAACCACGTAAATTCGCGGAAGATAAAGTCCTGCGACATGTAAAGTTACGAGCGTAAGCCGCAAGCAAGTTACATAGTGCAGCGAAAGATACATAAAAATTCACGTAGTGTTCAAACTCGATCTCTGTTCGAGGCAATAACACTAAACAAATAAATATCTAAATATACAAATGATACAAGATATATAGTATAAAATAAATAAAATATATAATATATAAATAATATATATTAACACTAATATATATTAATTGATTAATAACACGTATAATTACGTATGTTATTAAGAATTTCTTTCGATCGCAAGCAGGCGGGACATGAAAAACGTACTTGCAAAAATATCCAAATCTGTCGGACAATCAATTGGACCAGGTAATATACGTCGCTCACATTATCCATAGTTGACAATTGTCCACTAATCCAATAAGTGGTTGAACCGATCGAAGCGTCGCTTTACAGAAATGTGTACGATTTTCCGTCGTGTCATTCTTGTCAGAAGAAAAAAGATTGCTCGATCCACCAATTAAAAAGTCTGACAAAGGCATCGCGAATCGAATCGACAGTCATTTTCGCGCGGATTGCGAACACGGAATTTTACGAAATCTCTAACATTGCACATCAAGACTAATGTGAAATATTATTGCGAGATTTTTCAAATAGTTAGAAAATAAATTATGACGAAAATATTTGCGCGCGTTTTTATTTCCGATTCGACACAATCTGAAACCAGAAGCAGTATATCTATTTTCAATCTGTTTTCCATCTTTAATCTATTTGTATTTTGCAAATGAATACCGCTATTGCACATTTACATAAGTGCACCTTGGCAATCATGTAAATATAGAATAACAAAAAGTCTCATACGCAGTTTTTTTTTTATTACAGATATGTAATCAACAATCACAGTAATAGCGAAAAGGTAATAAAAAAATACGAAGTATGTCGATGAATTCTTTTTCATGTTCATCGATAAATTAATTTACTTATTAAATTTGCACACGGCAGATAATTCACCTTTCTAATGAGAAACGCATCTTATGAATAAATTCATTGTGGATTTTGCAAACTTTTTCAACAAACATCACAGTCTTTTCGCATGAAAGAAATTCAACATTTTCCTGGATAATTTCCAATATGAAAAGAAAACCATAAGTAGTGTAGAGCATTATAGAGATATTACGATGATTAAATTGGAAACTGGCTGAACAATATCGCATTTTTTTCTTTATGTTAATCAACTGATGCACGATTTTTAGATGACTCGTATCTCCTTTCATCCTTTTCCTCTCAGATAGAAATTCGCAAAGGTAATTTGACAATTTCATGAACGCGTCACACAGTCATAGTGTCTTTATGACTTTACTTCTGATCTTGGCCTAATTTGGTTTTTATTCAAGATAAAGAAATCTTTATCCTAGTACTTAAAGTATTTCAAACACGAATACACATTGTGTTGATGTTTACTTTTGTTTCCATTTCATATTTCGATTGAACAAGATAATTTTGTTGCGTAAAGAAAAATTGCGTTCGATTAATCTTTATAACAATCGAAGATATCTTTATCATATCCTTCATATATATTTCTGAGAAATTATTAGTTGGAAAATAAAAAATAGATCAATAAACTATTTTTGAAATTATACTGGTTTGATTATTCCACGCTAAATGATTATAGCTGCGTTTGTTGATTTTATTGATAATGAAATTATCTGCGTTTATTGATTTTAATGATAAACGTATTGATAGTAATTCATTTTATTTTGTGAAAGAAAGAAGTATATAAATAATATTATTTTAAATAATGCCTCAAAAGATCTGTATTTATATCAATTTTTTGTTCTCTCTCGAAGACAATTAGATAAAAAATTAGGCGAAAGTTGGAGAACACGCGTAAAATTTTCCAAAATAAAATTTTGCAAAAAAATCTTCAGATTTTATTAAAATCTAATTCCAACTTCAACCTCATGTCTTCATTTCTCAATTTTTCTTTAATCATCTTGAAAAATAATTTTCAATTAAATTTAAGATTAAATAAATATAATTACAATACGTAAGAATTATTATATTGTATATCTTTTTGCAAATAATAGTCCAATTAGGGGAACAGCTTTTGAGCAACAAAGAGGAAAAATCTTATCGGTATTCACGTGCCGAGTTGGGAGAAATCCTTGAAGACATCTCGGAGCTTACTATTAAAAATTATTAGTCTAACGCGCTCGTTATATCACGAGAGATGAAAGTCGTGGCACGTGATGCACGCGAAGTAACGTGTGTGCAGCAATGAGAAACTAGTATCTAATCGGGGGAAGGACAGCTTTGTCCGACTTTATGCGGATTTGTTGGCTCGTTAGCCACCAATCGGTGGCTAACGAGCGTCCCGTAGTCGCGTCCTCGAGCGATGCGAATGCAAGGAACGGCGGTATCTTTGTTTTCCGTCAATCGGAGATTTGCAGACACGTCGGAGCCTCCGGCAGTTGAAATTATTCCACACTTCCGGATGGATCGTCATTTTCGCCGAGAGGAAGTTTCAGTCATTAGCTGCATCTTCGCGGAGACTCCGCCGGATCTCTCCTCCGTCACGGAAAATCTGCAAATTGACAATAGTCGAGAGAGATTCGCGAGTGATTGTCACGCATGAAGTGTTAAACACTTATGCTGATAAAGCATCCACTTCGTGATAAAATCTTAGAGAAATATCGAGAACCGCGAATAAAAGTGCGAAGGAGCAGCTCGCAATCTAGTTCGAGGAGCATCGCGAGAGTGCTACTTCTGTTCCTACCTTATCGCGAAGTATATTCGCGAGTGAAGATAGGATAAAGATTGTTCTCCTGTGAGAGTGATCGTCACGGGATCCTAGCCTCGGTATTCATCGGCGGAAAAGTCCGGGTCAGTTTTTCGCGCGTGGCGCGATTAGCGTTGCGTTCCGTCGCGTCCTAGAAAACGTAAAAACTCTCTAGTTCCTCTCTCTAGTTCCTCTCGCGTCTCTCGCACTTCCCGTGCGTCGTAATGGCAAAACCGGAAAAAATAGAGGACGACATTTACGTGAGATTCTCTTAAATTATACGTAAAATACCTGAAGACCGGATATCGCGATTTTTCACTTGCGAATTATTTTTGTTTTTCAGAAGCCAAATGGGTATACTAACGAGGCCTTCCAGTTGGACGGTTTCGATTCTCACGAGAATATTCCGCCTGATTATGAGACAGCGACGAGTTCCGATAAAGAGCAGGAACCGAAACCTGAAAGTTTAGTGCGTATTATTACGTACATCGTCATGTCAAATCGAGGGAATCGTCAATTTCAGAAAATAAATTTTTGATGGTCAGGTAGTCACCAAGGGAGCCGAATGGGAAGGTAGACTGGAGTTTCTGATGGCTTGTATAGCCACTTCCGTTGGATTAGGAAACGTATGGAGGTTTCCGTTCACCGCGTATGAGAACGGCGGTGGTGCCTTCCTGATACCCTATATTATAGTCTTAATCCTGATCGGGAAACCATTTTATCTTTTGGAAGGACTCCTGGGACAGTTCACCAGCAGATCCTGCGCGAAAACGTGGTACATGACGCCGGCTATGAAAGGTGAGATCTTCCGAGAAGAATAGAAACGATCTCGAATCTTTTTATAATAGAATTAATTTAACTCTTGAACGCGCATGACCTACTTTATGATGATATATAAAAAGTAAGATAACGGCTTCGGCGAATCTCAACATGAGTGTACATCGAAGAGCATTTTTAAGATTTCTCTCAGAATTGCTTAATTTAATTGTTTAAATAATAAATAATAAACTATTATTATTTAAATAATAAATTATTTGAGATTTTATCGATGATACTAGAAAAAAATTTTATTATGAAAATTCAAATATTAATTTTGTGCAATTTTTTTATAAATACTAAATAGAGTTTAGCCTCTTGACTTTATTTCTTTTCAGGATTGGGATACTCGCAAGCGTTCGCCGCATTCTGCGTTGTTTCGTATTACTGCGCCTTGATGGCATTGACCTTGTATTATCTGGTGCAGAGCTTCCAATCTGAATTACCATGGTCGATCTGTCGTCCAGAATGGAAAGATTACTGTATCGATGTTTCGTTAAATAAAACTATTTCTGAAGTTCGTAATGTCACTGTACAAAGTTCTGCAGAACTGTACTTCAGGTTCGACGCTAAAACTGCATTAGTTGCTTCTTTGAGTCTATTAATATTATTAGTCTATTTAGAGCTGATTGTTTCCCTTCCGAATAAATTTATTTACTGAATAAAGCTGTGAAAAAGTAAGAAAAAAAGAAAATGCGAAAGAGCGAGAAAACGAAGATTTATCGAAAGATGAAACAACCCACTCTTAATATTGAAGAGTTCTTTTAAATTTTTTTAGGAACGACTATTACAATTTTTTATGATATTTCCAATTTTCAGGAAGATAGTGTTGCAGGAATACGAGTCCATCGAGAATGGTATCGGCGTGCCGTCCTGGCAGCTGTCGATATGTCTGTTCCTCAGTTGGGCCTGCGTCTTTGGGGTGCTTTTCCGCGGCGTGAAGAGCACGGGTAAAGCCGCCTATTTCCTCGCGATATTCCCATACGTCGTGATGGCCGCTCTATTGATTAGAGCTGTCACTCTTGAAGGCGCCGTCGACGGCATCCTCTTCTTCGTAACGCCGAAATGGGACGCTCTGTGGAAGCCCACCGTCTGGTACGCCGCCATTACGCAGTGCTTCTTTTCACTGTCGGTCTGCTTCGGCCCGATCATCAACTATTCGTCCTACAACAATTTCGAACACAGAGTAGACAGGTAATACAACGTATAAAGAAAGGCAGACAGATAGAATATTAACAAAATAAATTAAAAAAGAAAGCTTTTGAACTCAATTCTTTAAAGTGTCAGTTTTTATCGCGAATGAGTTAAGAAGAATTAAGAAGGAAAAAAATGCTTTTTATTTAATTTCATTCTACTCATTTCCTTAGGGACGTGATGATAGTGACTACGCTGGATACGTTCACCAGCCTGATGGCCGGTTGCACGATCTTCGGCATCCTTGGTAATCTGGCCCACGAGATGAAAGCGAAGGACATCTCGAAGGTAGTTCGCGGCGGCACCGGTTTAGCCTTCATTTCCTATCCGGACGCGCTATCGCGTTTCACTTTCGTGCCGCAGCTCTTCTCCGTCCTGTTCTTCATCATGCTGTTTGTCCTCGGCACAGGAAGCGCCGTCGCGCTGAGCGGTGCGGTGTTCAGCATCTTTCGCGATCACCTGCCGATGATGAGGCAGTGGCTGTTGGTGCTCTGCGTCACTTGCTTCGGCTTCGTCGTCAGCCTCGTCTATATCACTCCGGTGTGTTAAACAGGTCACGCAAGGCTTGCTCTAAAGCACACACAAACATTAGTCATCAAATGTTGCGTTTAACCGATACCTGATAACTAATCGTGCCACGTGTTTGAGCCGCACAGAAATGCAAAGCTCCACGCTGATACTGAATTTATTTAATAGCGATTGCTAATCGAATACGAATTTACAATTTAAATATTGCGAGCATAATTATTCTGAATAAGTGATCGCTTGTGACTCTTAATCGTTCTGCAAGATAAAATTGTTTAACATTTTTTTTAAATAATTAAAGAACTCAAGAATCTTGAAAGACGAGAAGTACTTCTCAGAAAATATTAATGTTCTGTATTAATGTTTAATAATGATGTTAAATAATAATTACAGGGCGGTCAGTGGTTCATAACGTTGATCGATTATTACGGCGGCACTTTTGTGGCGATAATCGTCGGTGTCCTCGAGATGATAATCATCTTCTGGGTGTATGGCCTCTCTAATTTTCTCACTGACATGGAATTCATGCTGGGTAAGAGGCTGAGTTTCTACTGGCGAATCTGTTGGCTCGTGATTACGCCTTTGCTCATGATCGTCATACTAATTTACACGTGTGCCACCTATGACCCACCCACGTACGATGGCGCACGATTTCCTGGTTATGCCTACGGTCAGTGTTTTTTGAATTCCATAATTTTATATATTATCTTAATTTTTTACTGCAAATTATAAGTTATTATTATTGCAAAACAATATCTGTGTCTTTTTACTTTCAGGAATAGGATGGTTTGTGCTGGCTCTAGGAATATCTCCCATCATATGGTGGTTTTGCCAGAAAATAATCGCGAATAAAACATCGTCCGTTCTCGAGGTAGATATTATAATGGAATTAATCGAATTTTTAATTAAAGTCGGGACCGAATAAATCCTAATTCTTGAAATTCGGAAACGCATTATAGTCTGTCAAAGCAGCATTTCGGCCTGCGGAGGGTAAATGGGGACCAAAGAATCCGAAGATATACCAAGAGTGGAAAGCATTTATGCTGGAGAAAAAACTCGCCAAAGGCGGTCTAATGAAGACGTTTTTTAAATAAACAGCTTTATTTATTATCTTCTTGCCCATCTAAGTCAGTTGCTTTTACTTAATTGTTAGCTAGCGTAATGTAATAAAAGAAAATAAAATAAAAATGATTTCAAACATTATATTCTAGAAAAATATAAATTTTAATCTCTCTTTAATCATCAACTTCTAAGAAGTAAAATATCTTTAAAATATCCCAGTATCAAATTAGAAACAGCAAAAGACATCAAAGACGAGCCTTCTAATTTACGCTTCCGAGTATTCCGTGATTACGTCACACGAAATACTATTGTTTAATTACGCGCGGATGTAATTACGAGTCATTGGTGTTATGTAACGCTCAGACAATCAGATTTATATAGGGATCAGATTTTCAGGTTTATCCAACGTAATCCTTCGGTTCGGTTCTCTTCTCTGTCAAAATGTTATGCCGGCTCTTATTATTACGTGGCTCAGGAATCAGTCGCATGTAACGTGTCATTATAGAAATCCGTCCGTCCGTCGGTGCTCGCCTCCCCATGGCATTCCTCGCGCGCATTCGATAATTTACTCGCGGTCTCGATAAGCTTTCCTTGTTTATGCGTACTTGAGACGGAGGAAATCGCACCGGCATTACGCAACTGAAACCGCGCTCGGTGAAATGCATTATTTATCAGAACCGTCGGCTTGAATTCGATTAACGAGAATTTCTTTAAATGAAACATCTCGTGCAAATTGAACGGATTACCCGCGAATTCATTAAGCAATTACATATAATTTAGCGCAACGTCAGAACTTTTTGTTGTATCGAATATTCTCATTATTCTATAAATATCCACAGACGGTTTCGACATTAATAACTTTGGTTTCGCTTCGACGCACAGAATTAACAATATGACGATGGAAACAATGATGATGAGAGTTAATCGTCGCTCACATTCAATTTGTCTCGTTATAAAATGTCAATCGAATTACTCATTGGTAAACCTTGACAGGTGCGAATCTTTAAACAGACAGACGCGCGGTACAACGTAAAAATTAAACAACTGCAAGAAATTTATCTCCTCCTTATTTATAATGTGAAACAAATTTTCCGACGTATCTCGTCACGTTTATTTCGCCATCGTCTCGATCTACTACATAAATTTCGCGGAAGATCAACCTTTTGCCTGAAAAGAGAGGAAAAAAAGGAGAACAAAGATATCCCGCTTGAGGTAAGTCTCGATCGTCGATCTGTCTCTCTCTCTTTCTCTCTCTCTCTCTCTCTCTCTCTCT